AAGACTGAATGTAGTATTTGCTCCTAATTTTCCAAATATTTTGACGGCTGCTCAATATACTTTCACAAATTCAAGATCTAATTTTTGTCGCAACCTCAAACTTTATATCCTAAATAAATTGCTCGTTATCTATTAGTAAAGACAATCTGCAGTCTCAAAATGAAATGCGCCGATATTGATATCACAATTAAAAACATAATGGCTGTTTTGTCGTGGTTGCTTAAGATCTAGAAAAGGTTATTTCTTTCTTGTTAAAGAATGTCACGATTCAATATGGCAACATGTCCTTCCTCATATTCAGACTGATTTAATTAATTGATCAGTGGAGATAAAATGCAGTGTAAGAATTACGAGTCTAATTGTAAGGATAAGTCTGGTTACACTGAAGAAGGGTTTGTCAAATGCTTGAATCCGATAAAATTGCGGCCTGAAAAAAAAGACCCAGAATTACAGTCCGATAAAACAAAAACAAACGCAGGAGGTGAATAATGGATCACTATATTTTTCTGGGAGGGAAGGGTTGCTGAAAAAAAATTTCTATAGGAGAAAACTCGAGAAAAAGTGCTGTGCAAAGCGAGTCACAAACAAGAAGTGTGTGGAATAAATAGAATCAAAAAGAATAACTATTACGTAACCTGAACCGAAAAAAAATCTTCCCACTCAACAGTATGATAATCTGTCTCTTACAGGAAAGGCGTTATTAAACTGCAAAAAGTTTAAAAGCCACTGCAATGTCACTTATGCGTATTCTATTTAACAACTGAGAATATTGATTGCCCCGCGGACTAAACGACCCGGGCCGTTCCCAGATCCGCGCTCCCCTAGAAAACCGGGTGGAAAACCGAGCACGAATGGAGTGAACAAGTCGTCTCGCTATTTATTGAAAAGCTATTACGTAGCTAGTGCGAACAATGCTCACCTAGTCGAGAAAGCGGCATTGTTGTTACTTATTTCAACTTTGCATATCGTTACGAGTGTTCTGAATAATGGTTAATTCTTACCTGTGATCTCGTTGATCTTAAATTTGTCTGCTGGACCAGATTTTAATGAATATTTCACTGCTCCGTTACTTCCGGTCGCGGCGATGCACAATAAGTTCGGCACCTTTCCCTGGCCTTCACGCACAGAAACCTTGTACGATTCCGAGTTAAATTTGGGAGCTGAATCTTGAGCACTGGTGACGTCGATATTTACGATCGCGCTCGAGGTCTTTCCTACTCCGTCCGTTGCCGTCACATAAATTAGAAATCTTCTGTCGCCAGTTGCTCTGTCAAGTTTTCTTTTCGTTCTTATTACACCTGTGCTCGCTTCAATTTTAAATTCGGGCGAGCTGGAAACGTCGTAAGTGATAGAAGCACTGTCTTGATCTATTGCATGGATTACGGTGACAAAGGTCCCTTCTGGGTTACGCTCAGGCACGCTGGCGTCATAAACTGGCTTGGTGAAGTCCGGGTAGGAATCGTCCACATCTGTTATGTGTATGACGAGGTAGAGATGGCTATGGCGGGGGATTTTCTCTTCGTTTCTCGCCTCTATCATCAAATCATACTCTGAGTGTGTTTCTCTGTCCAGTGGGGCGGCGGTCTTCAACACCCCCGTCTTCTCGTCCAGTTCGAAGTATGGCATCGCGGAACCGAAGATTGCCGAGTATACGACACCTTTGCTCGAGCTTGAGCCGGAGTTCGCCGAAGCTCGAAATACAGATTTACCCACCGCAGTATTCTCTGCAACTGTTATAGCTTGTATGGGATTACTGAAGGTAGGATGGTTATAGGGATCGTCAACATTCTGCACTTTGATTTTCACTTGGGTCTCGGCGGTTTTTTTAGGGCTACCCTGATCTTGCGCACGCACCACCAAACTGTATGTCTGTGCAGCAAGGTCATTATTCACTGTCAAAACACCACTGTAAGTGTCGAGGCTAAACTGACTGGAGGAGCTGCCTAGAGAGTACCGCAGCTCCTTGTTGGGTCCTGGTGGATCATCGTCCCGCGCATAGATGGCGCCAAGACTCGCCTTTACCGGAAATGACTTGTAAATTGTAAAGTGGCACGGTGCTTCTGGGAAGGAAGGGGCAGTGTTTTGTTGATCGGAGTTCGGGGACGCTTGGAAAGGATAGTTAGGGATATCTTTAGCCACAGTGATCTTAACAGTGGCTGACGTTTCCTTAAAGGGAATTCCTGCGTCACGTGCTCTTACCGTCAGTTGATGCAGGCGCTGTGCGCTCTGTGAGTAATCTAACTCGCGAACCAGAGTTATCTCTCCTGTGAAGGCATTAATGGTAAAAAAGCTTGACAAAGTCTGAAAGAAATAATACACCTCTCCACTTATTCCTTCGTCTTTGTCTGTAGCTTGCACCTTCATAATTGATGTCATGAGCGGGGTGTCTTCACTTATTTCTCGCTCGTAGCTGCTTTCGTTAAAAACAGGAGGGTAGTCGTTCACTTCTTCGATCCTGACGCCGATGGTTGTACGGGCTGTTAATGGCGGAACCCTCATGTCTTCAGCTTCGACGACCAACGTAATGAAGGGTGTGGTTTTCCCTCGCTTGATAGGCGTGTTTGTCGCTAGCAAACGCAAGAAACTTTTCACACCCACGTCGTATTTTTCAACTTTAAGATATCCCCTCTCGTTCCCTTTGATAATTTTGTATGTTTTTATCCCGGATTCATCGCGGTCTTCGGCGTGGCAGTTTTCCAAACCCAGAACTACAGTCCCTTCTGGCGAATTTTCTTTGATGGTACCATTGTATAAACTAAAAGGAAAAGCTGGCGGAAAGATATTCGCGTCTTGCACCGTCACCCGCACAGTGGCGGCCTGTCCTCCGTTTGTCTTCTTGGAAGATCTTCGGACGATCGTTAAGTCGTACTGGTTTGCTTTTCCTTTCTCGTAAATCAGAGGTTGGACTGTTGTTATGACGCCTATGTCGGAGACCTGGAATAAGACAACTTCGTAGAGCGAATCTCCTTTCTGGGCGTATAACAGCGTATACTTTTCATCACCGGTTGGATAAGGAAACTCACTGTAAATAACAGGGTCTTCTAACTTTCCTTCCGGCACGTTCACTTCGATAAGATTCTTCCATTCTGCTCTCGCGTCAAGCGCCAAGTGTGATAAAATCAGAAGCGCGCAAAATTTCGTGATGACAAACAGCCGCATTTTTTAACCAAGTTTACCGTTTTGTTAGTTGCGCCACAGCTTATCCAGAAATGTTTGCATCTGTTTAAAGTTTGAGAAAAGATCTGTCGCCACTAAATGTTATATTCCTACGCAGATGCTTCAAAAACTCCTGAGTCTATAACTTTCAGTTGTGTTGTGCAACGCAGGTGCCAAACGTAAAATAATCGCGTGGAAAAATCATTTAAGGTATCCGTTGGATACCGCTGTGCTGAACGTCTGACGAGTTTGTCTGCGGTCCAGCACGAGAAGACATTTGTCTTCGAAAGACACCTTGCAACTTGCAGACTCACGACTTGCGTTTCAGTGTTTCCACGTTATGGTTTTCTTTGCTTGATTAAGTGCTAATGAAATCACGAAAGTTAACTTTTGGTTAGCTTTGTTTATAGTTGGCTTAGGCTCAGAAGCCGCCGAGATTTGCAAGTTAAGCGTTACAATCAAGTTCTGGCAGGCTAAATGTCGTCGGTAATTGGTTAAAATCGCTTCCTCCGCTATTTTGTGGCCGGCCCCTGCCAGCGCAAAGCGTGTAAACAAAACAGGTGAATTTAATTCCAGACGTAAATAAACATGATGAACGTAAAAGTAAGTAAAGCTGCGACGTGTTTGGCTATAATTAAACTGTTTTTACCTGCGCATAAGGAAGTTGGGTTTTTCATATGAAAATTGTTATTGTTGTCTATTTTAAGGAAGTTGCGCTAGCTGTAGGATAATTAACGTTAGGAGAAACTTGAATAGGAATCAAAGCCAATAAACGAATTTAAATAACTAATTAACACACCTGCAACATTGCATCATGTCTCCTAATTTTTTTGATCACAAGAATTTGTCTGTTAGCAATTATGCGGCATATCTCAAAATCAGGTCAGTTCTTGCACACAGCATCTAAATACGCTTAATATACTTTATTTTCGGTGGACTAAGAGAGGGCGTGTCTTAGGCAAAGATCCCACCACCCAGATGCTAGCAGCGAGCAGCTTCTCCCGACACATTGAACAATTCCCGGGGCCCCTTCCAGCTGGCTGGGAAGTGGGGGAGGGGTAAGTGCAAGTGTTGTCTTGCGCACGGGGGACTCCATGCTTAGAGGTCTTAGAGATGATCATTATTTGAAGCTAGTGATAGCCAGTGGTGAATAAGCAACGTTTCAAATGTTTCATTCGTTTCTAAGAAATTAATAAATCGTAAAAGGCCGGCGACACTGGTGGAGGGGAAGAGCAAGCTGCAGCGGAACATTAAAACATCCGAGATAATTGATTATAACAAGCGCTCTGAATTACTCTAAGCAAAAATAACAAATAAAATAAATACGTTCACTTGATTAAGTTTCTTTTTTATAATTCTCTTTCGTCTGCTTTAGTCGTGTTTAATGCTATCTCCTGTCGTTACAACGAAAAGACAAATTTATTTCGGTTACATGGCTCCCTGCCACGCAAAAAGGCTCCCTTGAATAGGTCACCACAAATGAAATGTATTACTATAATTTCGAAGCTGAGAATGTGGCTATTTTCAGTCGCCAGTTCAATTAATTAAATATAATTGCAGACTCCTGTAATTGAACAAAAGCAGGTTTTGTCTTTTTGTGAAGTGTTGTCACCAAAATGCTCTAAGTAGCTTAAATGATAAGACAAAAAATAATTGGCATAAATATAATTTATGTTTTCTTTCAAATGCTCTGCCAGAGTAAACGTTTTTCCCTAGAACTGAACTCAGTGTTTCTGTGCGTGAAAAATTAGTAGTGAAGACTTTCTAGTTGCAGGGAAACTAAACATGTCATTTAATCCTTGTTGCCAGTAAAACTATTTACAATGCTGCAACTCGTAAAGAGAAGATGTCACATCGCAACAGGTACCAGTTTTGACTAATTCTACCAGTTTTATGGTTTACCTCCTCAAGCGGTGAGGTGAATTACGTAACTTGTATATTTGGGCTTGTTTTACTTTGAACCAATGAAAAACAAATGAACCGACAGCAAGGAAGAGAAAAGTAATTCTTAGCTAGTTAACAGAAGCATTTTTT